TCTACAATAGGAAATGCCTGAGGCTTATTAAATTTCAAGATAGGGGTGAGATAAGAAAAAAAACTTTTTTTTTTTTTTTGTAAAAATCAGCGTTCTCCTTTTATTTGTTCAGAAGAGCAGCCAGCAGCATCCCCACCGCTCAAACCTGGCACACACACTTTGGAGACAATGGCTTCGGGACCCTCCCGCAGCTGGGTCCAGGACAGACTGTTTTGAGGCATAAACTCGGCATCCAAGGGGGGGCTGCGGCTCAGGCACTGCGGTGAAGGGGACAGCGAGGAGTCCGGCCTCACCTTGCAGCTGGGGACACCAGGGCACACACAGAGCGGGCAGGCTCATGTCCTGCTGGCCCAGGACCAGACCTCAGGGCCCCAGGAGGGTCTGCAGGCAGCTAGGAGCCCGCCAAGTGCTGCTGGAAGTAGAGGCTGAAGAGGCTGGAGAGCAGCTGGCAGGCAGCTGTCCACCAGATGAGGTGGGGCCAGGGCGCCACAGAGGAAGAAGGGCGTGAGCAGGCCGCCCAGGGCCGCAGCGATCCGCGCTGCAGACTGCTGGACCTCGTTCTCCTCGGGGCCGACGGGGGCAGCGCTGGCTGAGGATGGGTCGGGGGATTGGTAGAAGGGCTGGGCCCAGGCCCTAGGAATAGCCTCCCAATGTATTGAGCAGGAGCGTGCAGTTGAGGGGGAGGATATGCGGCTTCAGGCACTGCAAGCTCACCACAGTCACGTACAGTAGACCCAGACCACCCTCCGCTGGATTTCATGGGCTTCGATGCGGCCAGCCTCCCTTTGCAGCTGCTCCACGTGGGCCTTGGCCAGGCACAGGTAGGCCTGCAGCTGGGACCGGGTCACCACCAGCCACAGCAGGCACAGCACCACCAGCAACCAGAAGCGCCCAGAGTCAAAGGCAGAGTCAGACAGCAGGGAGAAGGGCATCTCCCCAAAGGGCGGCTGGTGCAGGAAGTCCCGTGCAATGGGCTTTGTCCAGAGCCACAGGATGAACAGGGGAGACAGGCAGCTGGTATGCAGGAGGAACTGCAGCATGGGCTGGTCCTCTGACATGGTCAGCGCGTCCCGGTGGGTCTGGGCCAGCCGCAGGCCTGGGAAGGTGAGGAAGGCACCCAGCACAGAGCCCACCACCGCCAGCCCCACATGGATAGCCAGCTTAGCCACAGGGAGCGCCCAGTCCCAGCCTTGCTTCTTCAGAAGTGGCTCCAAGTTCTGGGTCATGCTGGCCAGGCCAGGCTCCAGGCCCAGCTCCAGGGTCTCCTCTCGCACCACCTGCACCAGCATGGCCAGCAGGAGGAAGAGGAAGGCAAAGGTGAGGCAGACAGAGTGCTCACCCCTCTCCTCGGAGCTGAAGTACAGCCGTGTCACCATCAGTAATGCCTTGATGGAGAAGGCCACTGTGAGCAGGCACAGAACACAGTGATGTTGGTCTCCTTGGCTGGGCCCAGCACGTAGTAGTAGGCCTCCGCGAAGAGGTACACACCGCCTGAGTACACGGCAAAGTCCACGAACCACTGGTACTCCACGAAGAAGCGCAGGACCAGGGCATCCACGGTCATGACGGGGCAGGTCTCCAGCTGGAACAGGGCATCTCGGGGCACAGACAGTGGCTTCTCCTCACTAAGGCCATCGGCCCATCGCTCCTTCCTGCCTCTGGGCCTTGGCTTCCCTGCCAGGGCCCAAAGCTCCTCCTCAGATGGGTGCTTGTATTGGAACAGACTGCTGTTGCAGAAGCAGCAGTGCGGTGCCACCCTGTGCATGAGGGTGGCGGTGAGCAGGGTCACCACCAGCTGCACTCCGAGGACCGCCATGATGCGTGCGGGAGCGCGGTGCACGGACCCACCGACCTGGGGCTCCGGGCAATCTGTCTCATAGGGCCCACTTCACAAAGTGCTCTCACAAACCAGATGACTACTATCTCAATCTTAGAGACTACTATTCTTACCCAAGAACAGGGCTCGTTAAGATGGCAGAGCCCGGTAATTGCATAAAATTTAAAACTTTATGATCAGGGCTTCAATTCCTCTTAACAGGGTGTTTATAATTAACTTACTCCTACTAGTTACTCCTGCCCTAATTGCTATAGCATTTTAACACTCATAGAACACAAAATCTTAGGCTATATGCAATTCTGCAAAGGCCCTAACGTTGTAGGCCCCTATGGAACACCCTAACCAATCCCTGATGCAATAAAACTTTTTACAAAAGAACCCTTACTACCTACCACATCCACCACAACTCTATATGTAACTGCCCCAAACTTAGCCCTCTCCATTGCCCTCCTTCTATGAGCCCCCCTCCCTATACCATACCCCCTAATTAATTTCAATCTAGGCCTCTTATTTGTACTAGCAACATCAAGTCTAGCTGTTTACTCAATCCAATGGTCCGGATGAGCATCCAACTCAAACTATGCATTAATCAGCGCACTACGACCTGTAGCTCAAACAATCTCATATGAAGTCACCCTAGCCATTGTTCTACTATCAACCCTACTAATAAGTGGCTCACTTAATTTACACTCACTAATTATAACACAAGAACACTCCTGACTCCTACTACCAGCATGATCCCCAGCCATGATATGATTTATTTCCACATTTGCAGAAACTAACCGAGCCCCCTTCAACTTAACAGAAGGCGAATCAGAACTAGTTTCAGGTGTTTTTTTTTTTTTTTTTTTTTTTTTTTGTGGGTGGGTCGGATTTTCTTTCTTGTTACCCAGGCTGGGGTGCTTGGGCGCGACCTCGGCCCACCCCAACCTCCCCCTCCTGGGTTCAAGCAATTCTCCTGCCTCAGCCTCCTGAGTAGCTGGGATTACAGGCACGCGCTACCATGCCCAGCTAATTTTTTGTATTTTTAGTAGAGACGGGGTTTCACCGTGTTGACCAGGATGGTCTCGATCTCTTGACCTCGTGATCCACCCGCCTCGGCCTCCCAAAGTGCTGGGATTACAGGCTTGAGCCACCGCGCCCGGCCCTAGTTTCAGGTTTTAATATTGAGTATGCTGCAGGCTCATTTGCTCTATTCTTCATAGCAGAGTATATAAATATTATCATAATAAATGCCCTAACCACTACTATCTTTATAGCAGCACCTTACAACATAACTATATCAGAACTCTACACAATAAATTTTATAATCAAAACCCTTCTATTAACCACCCTATTTTTATGAATCTGAACTGCATACCCCCGATTTCGCTATGATTAATACATCTCCTATGAAAAAAATTTTTACCACTTACACTAGCACTATGCATATATTTCAATACCTATCCTAATATCTGGTATTCCACCCCAAACATAAGAAATATATCTGACAAAAGAATTACTTTGATAAATTATAGAGGTTTAAATCCTCTTATTTCTAGAATTAGAGGAATTGAACACATACCTGAGAACTCAAAACTTTCCGTGCTACCTATTACACCATATTCTAAGTAGTAAGGTCAGCTAAATAAGCTATCTGGCCCATACCCCGAAAATGTTGGTTTAATCCTTCCAGTACTAATATCAACCCCCTAGCCCACCCTCATTATCTCCCTTACTATCCTAATAGGAACCATAATTACAATTTTAAGCTCACACTGATTTCTAATCTGAATAGGCTTAGAATCAAATATATTAGCCATCATACCAATACTAGCTAAAAACACATGCTCCCACTCCACAGAAGCATCCAATAAATATTTCCTAATACAAGCAACCGCATCTATAATCCTCCTAATAGCCATCTTTCTCAACAACCTATCTTCCGGACAATGAACAATTAACCCACCCCTTAATCAAATTCTATCTATAGTAATACTAATCGCCCTAGTAATAAAACTAGGAATAGCCCCCCTTCAC